CCCATAAGGCTTAAAAGAGAAACAAAGGCACTTGGGCCTTTTGCAGGAAAGGAACATTGCTAACTCTGTTTCCAGTCGGCATCTCTTATTTGTTTCTGGACTTGGTGGGGCTTTGCCAAGTAAGGCCTTTGGCAGGGTGTCAAAGAAGATAAGGGTTGGTGATTATCCCAAAGGACTTCTTCCGAAGGTCTTGTTTTGCAACTAATTGGGACTTAGCTGGGAATGATCGTAAGTCTTAGCTGTTACAATAAAATAGTTTTTTTGTTTTTTTTTGAAACTAATTGTGTAGTGTAATGACTCAGTAAGCCTAGGTCACAACACAGACAACACATACTCATCCCCAATAGCTTATACCTGCGTTCAACAGTGAAGAGACACAGGACAGAAAACATCCTGCAGAAAGCACAGCTCCAGCTTCTCAATGAAAGAATAGGCAGGGATACGACATCATCTATCTCCAGTGTACAACACAGTCCTTTCAACAGTTTTAAGAAGGCTCCGCATCCATTTGCACTACTCAGGTGACCTTGAAGACACAGATAAACCTCCATTCCCCACCATCCAGCCAGAGCTGAAGAAACTTCTTGGATGAGAAGCAAAACATCTTCAAAGAAAAACAAGAAAGTCCAGTTGCCTCTTGAAAAAAAAAAATGTCTTTGGGACAACCATGACTTGGATGACTGAGAATCTCCATAGATCAGGGGTCAGCAACCTGCAGCTCTGGAGCCGCATGTGGCTCTTTCACCCCTCTGATGCAGCTCCCTGTCACTCAAAATATACGTCACAGCCGCCAATGTGCGAAACCCATCGGCACACGATTTATTGAGCTTTTCAACCCCCCAGTAGGCCAACCATGGATAAATCCAAGAAAAGAAAAAATTCAGAAGAACACAGAACGTTTAATTCAACTACAGATGCTAGTTTTGTGGCCGCTCAAGAAATAGTCAGGCACGGGAAAGGTTTTGTGGCTCCCGGTGTTTTCCTTTCTGTGGGAAACGGGTCCAAATGGCTTTTTGAGTGTTTAAGGTTGCAGACCCTTGCCATCAGTGGTGGGTTGCCCTCGGTTCGCACCGGTTCTATAGAACCGGTAGTAAAACCGGTGGGAGGCTCTGCCCACCAACCCCGACGTCATCAGAACGCGCTTGTGCAGAAGAGCGCACGCACGCGGCCCTGTTGCAAACTGATAGTAAAGGTAAGTAGAACCCACCCCTGCCTGCCATAGATACTTGTCAATGAATTTCCTTTCTCTTAGAAAATCAATTCTTTTGATTTCCCACCCCCCCTCCACTTTTCATCAGTTGTAGAGGCCTGAGGGTTGTTTTCCTAGCAGGAGACAAGGACTGTAGCTCTTATCCTATCTATTCTTATTTAAGGCCTGACACACCCACACAAGGGCCTGGAAGGAAGCCACATCTTTAATTGTACAGGCGTGTGTGCTGTGTCTCACTTAGCAGGAGCCCTTGTATGCCGTCAGGCAGGAAGGAGCTGGGGGGAGGAGGAGGAGGGAAAGATGCATGAGGACATCCAGTTCTAAGCATCTAACTTGCGGTGCTGCTGGTTGGCAAAGAACTGAGTCAACAAAAGCGAGCAAGACAGAACTGGAGGTTGAAGGAGACTTTGGCAGAGGTCCTCATATCTCAGCAGAGAGATGCAACTGATATGGTTCTTCCAAGTTGATGACAGCAGGGAGAGGGAGTTGGGGAGCTGGACAAATCCAAAAATGGATGAGGCCACCCAGTTTCTCTCTCTGACCTGACATCTATCTTTCCTTTCCTTTCCTGTTTCCTTGTTTCTCTCTCCTTTCCTTTCTTTTTTCCTTGTTTCTCTTCCTTTTCTTTCCTTTTTCCTTGTTTCTCTTCCTTTCCTTTCCTTTTTCCTTATTTCTCTTCCTTTCCTTTTTCCTTCTTTCCTTTCCTTTCCTTTTTCCTTCTTTCTCTTCCTTTCCTTTTTTCTTTGTTTCTCTTCCTTTCCTTTCCTTTTTCTTTGTTTCTCTTCCTTTCCTTTCCTTTTTCCTTGTTTCTCTTCCTTTCCTTTCCTTTTTCCTTATTTCTCTTCCTTCCTTTTTCCTTCTTTCCTTTCCTTTCCTTTTTCCTTGTTTCTCTTCCTTTCCTTTTTTCTTTGTTTCTCTTCCTTTCCTTTCCTTTTTCTTTGTTTCTCTTCCTTTCCTTTCCTTTTTCCTTATTTCTCTTCCTTTCCTTTCTTTTTTCCTTTTTTCTCTTCCTTTCCTTTCCTTTTTCCTTATTTCTCTCCTTTCCTTTTTCCTTCTTTCCTTTCCTTTCCTTTTTCCTTGTTTCTCTTCCTTTCCTTTCTTTTTCTGTTTCTCTTTCTTTCCTTTTTCTTTGTTTCTCTCCTTTCCTTTTCCCTTCTTTCCTTTCCTTTCCTTTTTCCTTGTTTCTCTTCCTTTCCTTTCTTTTTTCTTTGTTTCTCTTTCTTTCCTTTTTCTTTGTTCTCTTCCTTTCCTTTCCTTTTTCCTTATTTCTCTTCCTTTCCTTTTCTTTTTCCTTATTTCTCTTCCTTTCCTTTTCTTTTTCCTTGTTTCTCTTAATTTCCTTCCTTTCCTTTCCTTTCCTTTCCTTTCCTTTCCTTTCCTTTCCTTTCCTTTCCTTTCCTTTCCTTTCCTTTCCTTTCCCCCTTCCCGTTTTCTTCAATAGACTCTGTCTCCTTTCACACAGCTGCTTATTGGAGAAGAGATTGGTTGCCTTTGATCTACATGGAGAGGCTACTAAGACAGCAAACAAATTATCTATGTTCAAATTCTACTGGACTATTCAGATTAAATCCTTGCAGGTGCAACATTAGCTTAAAGTAACCTGATAGACAGTTCATACTTCTGGTTACGGTGATATTAAATTGGCTGCTAACCTCCAGTTTGCTAGATAGTAGAGCAGCACTATTAAGTAGATCAGTCAGCCTTCCAGAGCCCACCAGAACATGGAATGGTTCCTGCTAAAAGTGGTGCCAGTTTGCCATGGTTGGCATATCTAATCAAGGGGTCTCCATCCAATGGGGCATCCAGAGGTAGGGAATGGGGCAACAACTGGCCTCACAGCTGCCAATTAAAAACAGTCAAACTAAGTCAGGAACCTTCTGAATGCAAAGCAGAAGTTCTACTATTGGACTAGTAGACCTCTACCATGTTTTCCCAAAAATAAGCCCTGTCTTATATTTTTTTGAACCCTGAAATAAGTGCTTGGCCTTATTGCCATGCGCTCAAAAGCCCGATTGGGTTTATTATCAGGGGATGTCTTATTTTGGGGAAAACAGGGTATTTATGTTTTGATGTTGTCCATTTGTGGGGGCGGGGGTTGCAGGAGATGATTAAAATTATCCTTCTGAAATCAATAGACTTTAGCTCAGTGGTGAAATCCAAATTTTTTTACTACCAGTTCTGTGGATGTGGCTTGGTGGGTGTGGCAGGTGAAGGATACTGCAAAATCCCGATTCCCTCCCTACTCCTGGGGAAAGGATATTGCAAAATCTCCATTCCCACCCCACTCCTGGAGGAAGGATACCGCAAAATCCCCATTCCCTCCCCACTCCTGGGGAAAGGATATTGCAAAATCTCCATTCCCACCCCACTCCTGGGGCCAGCCAGAGGTCGTATTTGCCGGTTCTCCGAACTGCTCAAAATTTCCGCAACCGGTTCTTCAGAACCTGACAGAACCTGCTGGATTTCACCCCTGCTTTAGCTTCTGTGGACTCAGTTGCCTTCCCAATCAGCAAACAAACCTGTTATGGGTAGGGAGCATCCATTGCATTAAGCTACATTTAATTAGTTTTGGCTTACAGTATGTAGTATGAACCCAGGCATTCTAATCTGGAAACAAGCTTTTTTCGGGGGAAAAAAGCCCCCTCATCCAGACCTAAAAAGGGTGTGGTCTCAGAGTCAATCACTGTCTGAATGGACAATTGCTTCATCTTGTTAGAGTTGAGTCTCACTTTGCTCCTCCTCATCCACACTTGTAGCTTCCAAGTACACAGATGGACCTTCTACCACAGGGGTCCCCAACCAGCATTGGACCAGCATTGGACTGTGGCATGCTAGCAACCGGGCCATACAAGCAAGCGAAACCCCATCCATGGGATGCAGGCAGCTTTCAAAACCAAACCCCCTCCGGTCCATGGAAAAACCCCTCTCCACGGAACCAGTCCCGGGTGCCCAAAAGGTTGGTGAAAGTGGTGAAATTCAATTTTTTAAAAACTTTCGGTTCTGTGGGCGTGGCTTGGTGGGCGTGGTAGGGGCAGGATACTGCAAAATCTGCATCCCCACCCCATTCCAGGGGAAGGATACTGCAAAATCCCCATTCCCTCCCCACTCCTGGAGGAAGGATATTGCAAAATCTCCATTCCCACCCCACTCTGGGGCCAGCCAGAGGTGGTATTTGCCGGTTCTCTGAACTACGCCAAATTTCCGCTACCGGTTCTCCAGAACCTGTCAGAACCTGCTGGATTTCACCCTTGGTTGGGGGCCACTGTTCTACCACATCTCCTGGACAGCCAGGGGTAGAACTTTATAATAGGGTGTCATCATACGATGTCCCCTTAAGACTTCAGATCAGTGTTAAAGATTAAGCTGTTGTTAATCTAGTAAACTATGATTAGATGAGCTCTGGTTTAGTCCTGTTGACATAAGGACAGAGTGATGATGTTCTATCCATATAAGCTCTTTGTAAATATCAAAGTGACTACAGTACTGGAGTTGGTACAGTACTAGCACCACATTAATACGGGACTCCCAAATTCCAATTCCAACTTATTTGGGTGGATTTGGGCAAGAAGTTAATTTTCTCTTGGGTGAATCCTTTTCTTCTGGTGTTTCAAGCATGGCCATTTCCTTCCTTTGAGAGCCCCATTCTTCTTTGAATTTGCACCCAGGAGAGCCATCTAGACCAACTCTTGGATTGATTCTCCTTCGGCATTAGCAGAATGAGGAGGCTGACACTCCACATCGGCAAAATCCATGCTCCACTCTGCCCAAATAAGAGAGGGGAAAAACAGGATGTTCTCCCACAGTGTTTACAGAACATTCGCCTTTTTTTTTTCACATTGAGTCTGTTCTTTTCCGAGCAAAGACAGCAGATACACTCTTGACGATATTACGGATTCCTGTGCCTTTTTTCAGGGCCAGTTTGGCCTCGCAGATGCGTTCTGCTAAGCCATGGAAGACCATGAGTGCTCCATGATAGGCTTCGGCTGCTGATACCTCATAGAACTCACAGTCCATGGAGAGGGCCAGGAGACGTCCCTCTTCACTGGAAACCTCCCGGTGATGGTGTAGATCTCGCTTGTTGCCCACAATAACAATGGGCACTTTCTCCTGGCTTGGACTTTCCTTGGCGGCTTTGATGAACTGGACTTTGGGTTGGACACTGTTGAAGCTGGCGCGGTCACAGATGCTGTAGACCAAGACAAAGCCATCAGCCCACTGGATGCGTTTATCTTTGGATGAGTTGTCCTCTGACTTCTCCTAAATAAGAAAACACATTTGGCCAATAGATTGGTTGGACCGAAAATCATAATTATTCGAGCAAATGCGGAAAACAAAAGCAGTCATGCCAATAATGGTTGGTGTCAGTGGCGAAATCCAATATTTTTTTTACTACAGGTTCTGTGGGCGTGGCTTGATGGGCATGGCAGGGGAAAGATGCTGCAAAATCCCCATTCCCTCCCCACTCCAGAGGGAAGGATATTGCAAAATCTCCATTCCAGAGGTGGGTTTCAGCAGGTTCTGACCAGTTCTGGAGAACTGGTAGCAGAAATTTTGAGTAGTTCGGAGAACCGGTACTAAAAATTCTGACTGGCCCCGCCCCCATCTATTCTCTGCCTCCTGAGTCCCAGCTGATCTGGAGGAAATGGGGATTTTGCAGTAACCTTGCTGTGGAGTGGGGTGGGAATGAAGATTTTACAATATCCTTCCCCTGCCATGCCCACCAAGCCACACCCACCAAGTCACACCTACAGAACCGGTAGTAAAAATTTTTGAAACCCACCACTGCTCCATTCCCGCTCCACTCTGGGGCCAGCCAGAAGTGGTATTTGCCGGTTCTCCGAACTGCTCAAAATTTCCGCTACCGGTTCTCCAGAACCTGTCAGAACCTGCTGGATCTCACACCTGGTTGGTGTGCTTGGCGTCATACCAAAAGTTCTGGAAAAGCATTTGGACAAAGTGGATAGAACCTCAACTCATGTATTACAAAAGCTGTGCCATTTGGGCTGTTCAGCACAAATATTATCACAATGTCTTTGGCTCTCCTAGATCCTTAGGAAGGATACGATACTAAAAACTATCTAATCCAATCAGAACTTTCTGATAGACTGCATGAAAATACTGACAACAACAACAATAGAATAAAAATTGGTACAATGTGGTTTATAAACCACAATATTCACAAGATATGTGAAATTAGGTAAAGGTAAAGGTTCCCCTTGTACATATGTGCTAGTCGTTCCTGACTCTAGGGGGCGGTGTTCATCTCCGTTTCAAAGCCGAAGAGCCAGAGCTGTCCGAAGATGTCTCTGTAGTCATGTGGCTGGCATGACTAAACGCCAAAGGCGCACGGAACCCTGTTACGTGAAATTACCAACCAGCAAATCATATTATGGCTTGGTGCAATGTGAAAGCACAACTTCTTCCAAAATGAAGTCTGTTGTGAGAGACATCTTATGTTAGCTAAAACGCAGAGAACCACATTCAGCCGGTGTTCCCAGGCTGAATGCAGTTCTCTAACTCTTTGGATATGGCCCCCAGCATCCTTCCAAAAGGATCTGCCAAATCGTAACATGTCAGAAGGTGAAAATTCCTGATTGCATCGGAAACATTCACATAATTGTACTTAATTAATGTAATTTAATTTTCATTAAATTGAAATTAAAAGTCACACCCAGGTTTTATTCTCACTTTTTCTTCCCCAAGCCTTTTTTGGGAGTTAAGCATCGACATACGACTATGTGGTTGCTTGAACTGAAAAGGAAACTGACCTCAAAATTAAACCAAAGTATAGGTAAGTAGCCAGGAGCAGTGGTGAAATCCAAAATTTTTCCCTACCGGTTCTGCGGGCATGGCTTGGTGAATGTGGCAGAATCCTCATTCCGTCCCCACTCCTGGGGGAAGGATATTGCAAAATCTCCATTTCCACCCCACTCCTGGGGGAAGGATACTGCAAAATCTCCATTCCCACCCCACTCTGGGGCCAGCCAGAGGTGGTATTTGTCGGTTCTCCAAACTACTCAAAATTTCTGCTACCGGTTCTCCAGAACCTGTTAGAACCTGCTGGATTTCAAAACTGGGCCAGGAGGCATTTAGATAACAACAAATTCACCCCTCAAAGGATGCAAAAGGAAGGATATTTTTTTATATATAAAACCAACCAGCATGGAGTTTTTATCACGTTCTATATTCTTCCATCCTTCAATAGTGAAGAACTATGTTATATATGTCAACTCAAGGGCCTTAGATGTAAGATAAGCTGCTTTGGAATGTACGGGAGTGCAAACACACTACTTATCTGGAACTCATTAAGGGAACTATGTCTTTTTCCAGGCTGATGCAGGCATGGGTGCTTTAGGTAAAGGTAAAGGTTCCCCTCGCACATATGTGCTAGTCGTTCCCAACTCTAGGGGGCAGTGCTCAGCTCCGTTTCAAAGCCGAAGAGCCAGCGCTGTCCGAAGACGTCTCCGTGGTCATGTGGCCGGCATGACTCAACGCCAAAGGTGCACGGAACGCTGTTACCTTCCCACCAAAGTTGGTCCTTATTTTTTCTACTTGTATTTTTTACGTGCTTTCAAACTGCTAAATTGGGAGAAGCAGTAATGGGAACTCACTCCGTTATGCAGCACTAGAGATTCGAACCGCTGAACTGCTGACCTTTGGATCGACAAGCTCAACGTCTTAGCCACTGAGCCACCGCGTCCCCTATGCTTTAATGAGTTTCCAAAAAAAAGTCTTGTGTTTGCGCAGCCATTTATTCTCAAAATCCTCTTCTAAAACGAAGCGATGCACAACCCTACTGGAGATATTTACCTTATTAGTCTTTGAATGGTCATTAGCTCCAAAACAACAATGCAGGAGGAGGGGAAGAATGATTTTATTAGGCAGGTATTTTGTGATTGAAAGGTAACTGTAGAACTCCGTTGGACTATACATGCACCCAAATACAGACACCCATTCATATTTATAGTGATCCTTGCTTCCTTACCTGCGAGCAAGGAATGTCCCAGATGTGGAAAAGAATCTCTTTGCCTTCTATTGCCAAACTGTGAGTGTAGACAGACTCTGGGTTGGAAAAAGCAGAAAGTTCAGGTTGCCGCAAGCCATTCTCAAGAAATCCTTCCTTCCTTCCATGTATTCCATGTATAACCAATTTCGCTGTATACATGATGTACAATATGACAATAAAGGCTGTACTATATTTCCTCTTGGGCCTCTCTCTTTGAGCAGCTTTGGGTGTAAGGAGAGGACAGCTCCACAGAGCAAAGCCTGAGAGTTTTACACACAGCATGCATTTGCCCAACCCCTGCATGATTTGCCCTGATTGAGTTGTTTGGATGAGAAAAAAAGATACAACAGGCACTCTAAAGACCACACGCAGAGGAGTACCCAGTCTGCCAGAGAAAAGTTCCCTGAAGATGGGCTCCAGCATGAGTCCGAAGACAAAACGTCAGGTCCCGGTGACTGACCCAGATTGGATCCTGCAACAATATCCTGGGACATGTATGTTTGCCTTCATTTGTGAAAAAAGATATCTCTGTATATGTGTATGTACTGTATGTGTTATGTTTCTATCTATTATCAATCTGTCTACAGTGTCTGTCTGCCTCACTATCTGCCTAACTGCCTAACTGTCTGTCTGTCTGTCTGTCTATCTATCTAAAATAGAATAGGAATAGGAATAGGAATAGGAATAGGAATAGGAATAGGAATAAGAATAGGAATGGAATAGAATTAGAATTAGAATTAGAATTAGAATTAGAATTAGAATTAGAATTAGAATTGGAATTGGAATGGAACAGAACAGAACAGAACAGAACAGAATAGAATAGAATAGAATAAATTCTTTATTGGCCAAGTGTGATTGGACACACAAGGAATTTGTCTTGGTGCATACGCTCTCAGTGTACATAAAAAGACAAGATACATTCGTCAAGAATCATAAGATACAACACTTAATGATAGTCATAGGGTACAAATAAGCAATCAGGAAACAATATCAATATAAATCGTAAGGATACTAGCAACAAGGTTACAGTCATACGGTCATAAGTGGGAGGAGATGGGTGATAGGAACAATGAGAAGATTAATAGTAATGCAGTCTTAGTCAATAGTTTGACAGTGTTGCGGGAATTATTTCTTTAGCAGAGTGATGGCATTCAGGAAAAAACTGTTCTTGTGTCTAGTTGTTCTGGTGTGCAGTTCTCTATAGCATCGTTTTGAGGGTAAGTCTATCTATCCATCTATCTATCTATCTATCTATCTATCTATCTATCTATCTATCTATCTATCATCTGTCTCCTGCAGAACTGGAGTGTCTGATCCAAGTACCAAAATGTTTTGTTTCAGTTTATCCTTAACAACAATCCTATGAAAGAGAAATAGGATTTAGCTGAAGACAAACTAATGAGCCCCATGGTTGAGACCCCTGCATTTTTCCAGTCCCAGTTCAACACCCTAACACATGTCCTGTGCTGGCTTTTCATTGGTCTTCTTTAAAAAAAAATTTTTTTCACCATCTAAGTGTGATATTACATATGTGGTGGACATATCTAGGAGCCAGAAACTATTGCAGTAGAATTAAAACATGGTTAGAAGAAAGGCTTCAACAACATATTGACTTAAACTCGGAGCTGTTCCTATTGGGTATCCTACCAGAGAAAATTAGTAAAGAAAATATATGTTTGATTATACATGTAATAACCGCAGCGAGGATAGTATTTGCGCAAAGATGGAAAGCAGAGAAAATCCCTTCAGAAGGAGAAGTAATCAAGAAAACTTTAGACTGTGCAGAAATGAATAGATTGACTTTGATAATTAAAGAAAGAGAGGATATGGAATATTTTGAGATATGGAGACAATTTTACTATTGGTTTTATTTATTTATTTATTTATTGGTTCAATTTATATGCCGCCCTTCTCCAGAGACTCAGGGCAGCTGAGTAATGCACAATGCGCTAAGCAATAGCCTTCATACTTTTGTATATACCTGCTTAGTAGGGCTTTCGGGGCCCCCCTAAGCAGTGTTCTTTTTTTATACAAAGTCATCTTATTGCCCCCACAATCCGGGACCTCATTTTACCTACCTCGAAAGGATGGAAGGCTGAGTCAGCCTTGAGCCTGGTGAGATTTGAACTCGCAGTAATTGCAGGCAGCTGGTGCTACTTAACAGCACTTTAGTCTGCTGCGCCACCAAGGGCTCTTAATAGTTAGAGAAGAGATATAGATAAATGTATTAATAGTAACCAAGAGAATGTTATAATAATTGAATGGTGGGGAGAATGTTGTAACAAAGGAATGGAAAATATTAAGAAAGGATGAAGAAAGGAGGAGCAATAAGAAGAAGAAGTCACCGAAGAAACACCTAGATGACGCACTGAACGACTGATTATGTATTGTGTGTTTGTTTGTGTATAAAATAAAAAAAAATGACAAAAAAAAAATAAGTGTGATATTAGATTGGTTAATTTCATGGCAGAAGGAAAGAAAGAGCATTTTGTCTTCAAACAAGCTGGTGACCAAGCCAAGATTTGCTTGATAATGGTTTTAAATAAACCACAAGTGACTGTATTTGCACATTCCATTAAGTCAGTGTTTCTCAACCTTGGTAACTTGAAGATGGGTGGACTTCAACTCCCAGAATCCCCCCAGCCAGCGCTGCTGGCTGGGGGATTCTGGGAGTTGAAGTCCACCCATCTTCAAGCTACGAAGGTTGAGAAACACTGCACTAAGTCAAATGAAACAAATCGTCCTTACCTGGAAAAAATATAAACTATGGCTTATAGCTTACCAATATTATTGTGCACTTATCTGAACATGTTTTACATAAATAATGTTCCTTTAAAATGAAAGGGTCTGAAGATGACATACGGTGAGCAGACCCGGCTTTTTTCAGCCTAATTTCGTCTTTTGGGGGTATTGCTTTAAAATAAGAGTTATTTTCCTTTTGGACAAGATGTATAAAGCTTGCTAATGGCTTGGCTAAATTGGCCTGGGGTTTGTTTAGATTCTACCTCAAGCGTTCTGAAAATACCCGCTGTGATCTTAAAATAATCATTTATCACTTCAGAGTTTCATGTGATCTTGGTCAATTACTGTGCTGCTTAAATTGGTGCTGCTCAGTTCCCCCACTCTTAGCATTTTGGGGGGAAAAAAAACATCTCTTTTGCTGGGATTTTAAATGCTAAACGATTTTGAAGCCTAAGGAACTGTTGATTTGAAATTGCGTTTTAAAACTTTAATCCATCTTCTTTTTCAAGTTGTTAGCCATTTTACATATGTGGTCATATAGCATCTATGGCATGATGTATGTCATATGTGACATGAAAACATCATCATTGGCATCCTTCCGTCTCAAGAGACTATGGTATCGTGCTCTGGAAAGAGGTCCTAAAACAGCATCTAGTGTTGACTAAAAAGGCCAATTCGATATGAAAACAGTATTCCAGTATTTGAGGGGCTGCCACAAAGAAGAGAGGGTTAGCTTATTCTCCAAAGCATCAGAAGGCAAGTCAAGAAATAAAGGATGGAAACTAATCAAGGAGAGAAGCAACCTGGAATTAGGGAGAACAATTAACCAGTGGAACGGCTTGCTTTCAGAAGTTATGGGCGCTCCATCACTGGAGGCTTTTAAGAGGAGACTGGACAGTCACTTGTCTGAATTGTATAGGGTCTCCTGCTTGAGCAGGGGGTTGGACTAGAAGATCTCCGAGGTCCCTTCCAAATTCCTTGTGTGTCACACTTGGCCAATAAAGAGTTCTATTCTATTCTATTCTATTCTATTCTATTCTATTCTATTCTATTCTATTCTATTCTATTCTACTCTACTCTACTCTACTCTACTCTACTCTACTCTACTCTATTATTCTATTCTATTCTATTCTATTCTATTCTATTCTATTCTATTCTATTCTATTCTATTCTATTCTACTCTACTCTACTCTACTCTATTCTTTCTGTTCTATTTCTATTTCTATTCTATTCTATTCTATTCTACTCTACTCTACTCTACTCTTTTCTGTTCTATTTCTATTTCTATTTCTATTTCTATTTCTATTTCTATTTCTATTTCTATTCTATTCTATTCTATTCTATTCTGCTCTACTCTACTCTATTCTATTCTTTCTGTTCTATTTCCATTTCTATTCTATTCTATTCTATTCTATTCTATTCTATTCTATTCTATTCTATTCTATTCTACTCTACTCTACTCTACTCTATTCTTTCTGTTCTGTTCTATTTCTATTTCTTATTCTATTCTATTCTATTCTATTCTATTCTATTCTATTCTATTCTATTCTATTCTATTCTATTCTGAAAGCCATAGATGCTAATCAAAAGAAACAAATGATTTAATCAAGGATAAACAGGGCAGCATTTTTAGTTCGCTTTTCATGTCCCTATGAATTTCCTTTCTTCCCTATCACCCCCTAACCCCAACCTTGACTATTTTAAGATGTGTGGACAGCAAGTCTGACTGGGGAATTCTGGGCGTTAAAGTCCAGATATGTTAAAGCAACCAAGGTGTTAAAAACACTGCCCTCCCCAAAAGATATTCCTGAGGGGTTTCTTGTGGGTGTCCAATGCGATGGTCCATCCATCACCCACCGTTCCCAGGATGAAAGAGATTATTAACCAGCTCCAAAATTGTGTAAAGGTCCGAACACTCACCCATGTCTCCATATTCCCCAATAAACCTTTTGGTAAGGAAACGCACCGTCAGAGCTGTGAAATAGAGTGGGAGTTGAAACTGTTATATAGAACAGATGGGGCAGGAGGAGGAATGGAAAAGGATGTTATCATTCAACAGCAAAAAAATAATAATTGGAAGCTGTTCGCTCCCCCACCCCACATTAAAAATAAAACCAGCTTCCGAATCAAATTCAAATATTTAAAGACCCGTGTCCTCAAAATTTACCTCTGTACCGTAACACGTTACCCTATTTTTTTATGTTTCATGTAGACCCTGAAAATTTATTTTCAATGGAAAATAACGCTCAAACTTTTGTAGAATCCATGTTTTCAGCACTCTCCAAGTTATTCCATTTTTGCAGAGCTGAAAATTAATTGCCCTAAAAAGCGATCAGCTCGTTTGCAACCCTATATGTCTGCCTCAAATTTTTGCTTATCATCCTAAACACATTTAGGCATTATTCTAGACTTACTTACTCAATGATAAACCCACATATTATTTTTTTTTGTGGGGGGGGAGTGGAGGGGAAAGGAAGCTCAAAAATTCCCTTTCGTCCCAAACACATCTTAAGGTTGGCAACTTACAAAAAGCACATAATGTGCAAATCCGATCATAACATCTCAGCTCAGAAGGTTAAGAGATCCAGATTGTGGCTGGGCAGAAGAGCTCTGAATTCAACAAGACTCACTCGGTCTTAAACATGCAGATAATTGCAATGGAAGCGCTGTGGAAGATCAGAATTGTGACCAGTGGTGTGAGGTAAAGGTAAAGGTTCCCCTGGCACATATATGCTAGTTGTTCCCGACTCTAGGGGGCGGTGCTCATCTCCGTTTCAAAGCCGAAGAGCCAGCGCTGTCCGAAGACATCTCCATGGTCATGTGGCCGGCATGACTCAACGCCAAAGGCACACGGAACGCTATTCCCTTCCCACCAAAGATGGTCCCTATTTTTCTACTTGCATTTTTTACGTGCTTTCGAACTGCTAGGTTGGCAGAAGCTGGGACAAGTCATGGGAGCTCACCCCATTTACGCGGCACTAGGGATTCGAACCGCTGAACTGCTGAACTTTTGATCGACAAGCTCAGCATCTTAGTCACTGAGCCACTGCAACCAGTGGTGTGAACATCCACCGTGATTCCCTTTCGCTCTTCTGCAGCGCTTACGGGATCTGACAAGGTTAGTAATTTGTTTGGTTAATGAAGCAGAGAACTGTTTAGCCACATATAAATAGTATTACTCATTAAATGTTGCAGCATTGCATTTTACCTGTCTACCGTTTCTGGGCAGGGCACCTTTCACTTTTCATTGATACCCTGCACATTGAAGCTTGCATTGCATGTTTGCAAGTTTCTTTCTGTGGGTTTTTTTTTTTTAAAAAGCGGAGAGAGATTATTTCACAGCCTAGAATAGCAAACGCCCTGGAGTAGTTTTGTCGCCAACTTACCTGACTTTCCCACGCTGTCTGCTCCTAGGACCACCACGTTGGCTTCCATTTTCACAGGGGTAGAAGTGGAGACCTCTGCCCCAGGCTGGTGGTCAGGAGTGAAGCTGGCACTCCTGCGAAGGGGGATTCGGAGGACCATTGATAAAGATCTCTTCTTTCGTCCAGACTATATCAGCTGGGGAAACTGTTTCAGCTGTTTTCCCCCGTTCAGTCAAAAGAAGAATGAGTCTTTCTCACTTGCCACCAGTGGGAGTTATTTGCATGGATCATACCAAGCCAGAGGAACCAAAGGGGTTCCCTTCCTGGAAACTACTAACCAACATATTCTTAAGAGCAATAAAACCAGAATGTCAGTGGTCATCACTCAGTTAACAAATCTAGCAGGCTAATTCTACTCCACCCCACATCCATGGATAGAATGAAAATTAACGATGGACAGGACCCACCTTAGAGCAGCTAAAGGATTCGGGTGGGACTCATAGTCTTCTGTATCTGTAGGAACTCAAGTCTTTTCGGTGTGTTGCACACACTTCCCATACAGGGTGGGGCTCCAGTGAGCCAGTTAACCAATCTTCAAAGTGCACAGGCAGAGCAATAGGTCTATGCAGAGAAGCCACGCCACGAGAGTCACATACAGTGTATTCATGTAAGGTAGGAATCCGTAAGCAGGTTGGGCTGGCCCTAGGTTTTGCAAGAGGCAATTTCAGGCCAACATATTACTTTATTTTATTTTTTTTAAAAAATTAATTTGATATTTATCTGCCAGGCTTCAGGAGGAGAAAGTTCCTAGTTTCAGTGTCCCTGGTTCCATTTGGTCATATTTTCCACCTTGTAAAGCAGTCCCGTTATTCTACTACAGGCAGCCAGTATCTTGAATCAAGCCCGCCTTATTATTTCTGGCTTTTGAGATGAGCAACCTTTCTGCTATCTAAATCAGGGGTCCACAGCAGACGTGAAATCCAGCAGATTCTGACAGGTTCTGGAGAACCGGTAGCAGAAATTTTGAGTTATTTTGGAGAACTGGTAGCGGAAATTTTGAGTAGTTCAGAGAACTGGCGAATACCACCTTTGGCTGGCCCCCGAGTGGGGTGGGAATGGGATTTTGCAATATCCTTCCCCTGGAGTGGGGTGGGAATGGAGATTTTGCAGAATCCTTCCCCTGCCATGCCCACCAAGCCACATCACACCACGCCCACCAAGCCACGCCTCTGTTTCTGCCTCTGGCCCATTGACAAACGTGGGGGGAGGCAGGGAGCTGCTTTGTCTTTAAAACATGTTTCTCCATTCCTCATTCATGGAAATATAATATTCTGCCTTTTTAATATTTCCTAAAATATTTCATTCTTCTAGGAGAGGGGTGGGCGCTAACTTCCCACACTAGTTATTGCATTAGCCCATCTCTTTGGTACAATACTATTTCTATCACAGTTATGCACGATAGGAACACAGCTTCATGCGCTATGTTGCATCTTTCTAGTTTTGAAATCACATTATTTCCAAAATAAACCTTGTAAAAAGGTTTACTAAGAAAGCCACAGCTCTTTAAATAAGCGTTTGTATGTCTGTTTTCTCCTCTTCCTTTTTAAGGAACTAAGGGGCAGGTTCCCCCATCACCCATGGTTTATTTATTGGCTAAACCTGGCTGATCGTGGCTTATTGAAGGAATGTTGCTAACTGAAGCTGGAGAAAAAAAAGGGGCCCAGCGTGTTTTGTCACGTAAAGCATTCAGCTGCCTCCTCTGCCACTGCTTTTTAAAAGTGATTATATAGGAAAGATAATAAAACGGGGGAAAAATATACATATTTAGAGTATAGTAGATATGTAAATATTGTATATATTATACTAACAAGCAATGAGGGAATAAGAATGTATATGTATAAAACAACAGGCTCATGGATAAGTTGAAATTAAGAAAAAATTCCGATATCGGAAAGCTGTAAAAGTGTAATTGTGATTTTAAATGTTAAAATCGCTTTTTAAGAGCTAAATCCTGGTGTTTTTTTTTTTTTTTTTTTTGAATAGCTGGAGAAGTGGCTCCTTTTTCAAATGCAGGAAGGAAGGTGGATCTGTTGTTCCTCACTTTTATATACATACATACAAACATACATACATACACACACACACATACACGTTTTCTTTTCGTAGGTTTTTATGTGTATTTCTCTTTAGCCAGGTTCTTCCTACGTAAACCAAGATTTTTATGCAGCCCTAGTGGATTGGGATTTCACTGAACTAGGGCTGCATAAAAATCTTGGTTTATGTAGGAAGAACCTGGCTAAAGAGAAAAATATATATATATAAATATATGTGTGTGTGTTTTCTTTTCTTTTCATAGGCCTTTATGTGTATTTCTCTTTAGCCAGGAATTTCTCTTTAGGTAGGAAGAACCTGAAAAAGGAGCCACTTATTCCCCCTCAAAAAATCCAGGATTTAGCTCTTAAAAACCAGAGGCGCCTCGAGAATTCCCTCCGTCTTCCTAGCGCGCATTTCACAATAAAAATCAAAACTTTCTCTCTCTCTCTTTTTTTCTTCCCTTCAGTCGCGTCCGATTCTCCCTTCCTCTCCCTACCCCAGGGTCCGATTCTCTTCCCTGCGGTTTTCGGGGTCCCTTTGAAGGACCAAGCGGGCAAGACTTTTCAGAAGTCCAAAAAATAAAATAAAATAAAAATAAAGCATTCAAAATGAAAAACTACCCTTGTCCTAAATGGCAAAGAGACCCGTCTCACAAAACTCTTCGAGTCAACAAAGAGGCTATGAACGCTGCTAGTACAGAGGCGTCGCAGGCTTGCGGGCAGGACAGGTTTTACACCGAAGGGGAAAAGGAAAAAAAAATTAAAAATAAAACCCCAGATCGCCCGAGAGAATTTTTTTTCCCCGTCCCGGAGCGAACAAGCAAAGCCAGGCTGCGTCCATCGCCCCCGTTCGCCTTCAAAGAGGAGGCAGAGGATGCGCTTCCTTTCCAAGGAGGAGCCTTCCTCACTCCCATCCCATTCCCCTCCCAGATGTTGATGCAGGACCCGTTCCCGGCATGCTTTTCCACTGGAGCTGCTGGGAACTGTAGTTCGCCAACATCTGGAAAAAAAACGAAACGGTCCCGTTTGCTTTCCAGATGCGTCCTGCAGTCCGGCTCTGGAGAGAGCAGTTGCTCCATCTTCTTCCCAGAAATAGCGGCGCGTACTGGACCCAGAATTTCCCTCTTCCTCCTCCTCCTTCCACCCTTTTCCTCCCCCCAAGCCCTTCCTCGGACGGAGAGGGGGGTGAAGGAGCCGCCCCTTGACGCCATAGCTCCGCGTCGGCTATCCCAGGACTTGGGGGGCGGGTGGGGAGAGATTGTGGTTGGCAAGGAGGAGACTGGCATAATAAGGTGAGTCGGGACCCAGAGGCGCTCTCTCTTTTTGGATACAGGATGCCTCTGAGCCTATGGAGAGGACTCGGGGATTGTCCTTGGGAAGGGAGTGGAAGGACCGAAGAGATGGGGTCCAACAGACCAGCTTCTACCCTAGAATAGAATAGAATAGAATTTTTTATTGGCCAAGTGTGATTGGACACACAAGGAATTTGTCTTTGGTGCATAGGCTCTCAGTGTACATAAAAGAAAAGATACATTTGTCAAAAATCCTAAAATACAACACCTAATGATAGTCATAGGCTACAAATAAGCAATCGGGAAACAATCAATATAAATGGTAAGGGTACCAGCAACAAGGTTACAGTCATGCAGTCATAAGTGGGAGGAGGTGGGTGATGGGAACGATGAGAAGATTAATAGTAATGCAGACTTAGTGAATAGTTTGACAGTGTTGAGGGAATTATTTGTTCAGCAGAGTGATGACGTTCGGGAAAAAACTGTCCTTGTGTCTAGTTGTTCTGGTGTGCAGTGCTCTATAGCATCTTTTTGAGGGTAGGAGTTGAAACAATTTATGTCCAAGATGCGAGGGGTCTGTAGATATTTTCGCAGCCCTCTTTTTGACTCCTGCAGTTTACAGGTCCTCAATGGAAGGCAGGTTGGTAGTAATTGTTTTTTTTTTCCCCTGCAGTTCTAATTATCCTCTGAAGTCTGTGTCTGTCTTGTTGGGTTGCAGAACCAAACCAGACAGTTATAGAGGTGCAGATGACAGACTCAATCATTCCTCTGTAGAACTGAATCAGCAGCTCCTTGTCCACAGTTCCCATCCTTGGGACTAGAGATGCTGCAGGTCCCACCTTCTATTTTTGAGTCTATCTTCCTCTTAGATCTTGGGAATATCATGGGACTAGACAAGAAGAGCCGAGGAGCTGCCTACACAGCTACACCTATGCGAGGTACTAATACCACTCTGTAAAGCCTTAGTAAGACCACACCTAGAGAACTGCATCCAGTTTTGGTCACCACACTATATAAAAAAAGATTTTTTGAGACTCTAGAAAAAAGTGCAGAGAAGAGCAACCAAGAGGATTAGGGGACTGGAGGCTAAAACATACAATGAACGGTTGCAAGAACTGGACATGGCTAGTCTAGTGAAGAGAAGGACCAGGGGAGACATGATAGCAGTCTCCAATATTTGAGAGGCTGCCACAGAGAGGAGCGGGGGTCAAGCTATTTTCCAAAGCACCTGAAGGCCAGACAAGGAATAATGGATGGAAACTAAACAAGGAGAGAATCAACCTAGAAATAAGGAGAAATTTTCTGACAGTGAGAACAATCAACCCATGGAACAGAAGTTGCCTCCAGAAGTTGCGGGAGCTTCATCACTGGAAGCTTTCAAGAAGAGACTGGATTGCCATCTGTCAGAAATGGTGTAGGGTCTCCTGCTTGGGCAGGAGGGTTGGACTAGATGACCTACAAGGTCCCATCCAACTCTGTTAATCTGTTGTTGTTATTATTCTGTTGTGATTACCTCTTTCTTTCTTTCCCTAGCAGAGAGATGGTTCCTTCTTTTGTCTGGTGTCTCTCTTGACTTCCTGCCTTGGCCAATCATGGGTCTGAAAGCTAAGGCCCAGCCCTTGATGGAAGAGACCCCGGTCAGGGTAGCCGTGCGCATTCGACCATTGTTGCCCAAGGAACAGTTACACGGGCACCAGATCTGCCTCCAGGGAGACCCCGAGAAGAAGGAAGTGACTCTGGGCCACACCCGACATTTCCAGTTCGACACAATCTTCACCGAAATATCAGACCAGGTGTCTGTCTACGCCACCTGTATCCAACCGCTGGTGGAAGCGTTCCTGGAAGGCTTTAATGTCACCGTCTTTGCTTACGGCCAGACGGGCTCGGGGAAGACCTACACCATCGGAGAAGCACGCGTCTGTAAGTTCCCTGGTTTTCTTGCATAAGTTAAGTCCTTTAAAGTTTCTTAGTTTAGAAGGCATGAATACAGGTAGTCAGTGCAGGTGTGCTGAACTGCAACATCCAACCAATAGAGTCCAACTTTTCTGCAAATGGCCAAATTGGGGAAGGTTGCCCTGATATAAGCACATCCTGCGTTTGTAGGGTTGCCCTTTTTGGATTACCCAAAATGTTTTAGTGCTAAACGTTATGGGTGACTTCAGATTTTAAAAATCCGTGTCCATGAAAGTCGTCCACTTTCATATTGGTCACTGTCACTGACAGTTTTTTTTGTTTCTCTGGTTGCTATACAAACTTGGGTAAATAACTTGCATACTGTATTCTTCCATTCTTCCTTCCCCCCTCC